CTGAGGATTTCACTCTACAATGCAGTGCATTTGCTTCAACTTAAATACATCCTTTAAAATATTGCATCAGCTTATGTTCCATTGACAGTGATGAATTCCTCAGGCAATAGAATATATAATAGTTTAAGTCAACTTCTGAAACCAGGGCACACTGAACATAACCATAAATGTTGGGTTTTGCTTAGTTATTCCTTAGTTATTTAGGTTGGCAGATTTCTCAGTTCCCTTAAACTACCTCATGCAGTGTAGGGTCAGATCCCAGCCCTCCATCCTCTTGTAGGCACTTCCATGGGGCACTTCCATCAGTCCTCACATGACCAGAGTCTCATTGGAGGTATTGCATATTTGAATGATGGAAGGCTGTAGACATTGATTTTAATCAAGACTTCAATATTGCTCAAAAATGTTCTGAAAAGTAATTTCCTAGTTATATTTTTAAATGTCTTGTTGAATATTCCCAGAAATTAAAATTATATCAGGGTAGGAATTCAGGATAGAATTACTCTATGGAAATGATTCTTAAAATGCAGGGTAAGTAAGTGGAAATTAGGACATCTCTCAATGTAATGGCTGGATGCATTTATCTGTCAAAACAAATACTAACTCTATTACAAGCTATACTTAGTACTGGATGCTTAATGAGTTGCTAACAGAAGAACAAACTATCTTCTATTAATATATTTTTTTCACTTAGTACTCTATGGTACTTTGAAAAACACCTTTGATAAAACTGTATAAATTAAAATCTGAGAGTTTACACATTCCTTTCTTTTTATTTTCTTTTTTTTTAAAGTCTCCTTACTCCATTATTTGCTTTTCAGTGTCTGTTGATCCATTGCTGTTTTATATATTTTTGAGAACTTGTTCTTTTACAAACCAATGTTAAATAAGCTATATGTTTGTTATAGGCTGTGAGATGTGTCCTTTAGCAATAGGAATAATAGGACTTTTATGGCATGACTTTCTAAAGTGGTTAGAATTGTTGAGAGTAGGATAGTTTGATGGACAGATATCTTTATGTTTCCTTTGATGAGGCCTTCTATGAACCAAGTGCTGAATGTCTTTATAATGTGTGCAGCAGGGTGGTGACAGCTGTGTAAGACAGTGTGTCTACACAGTCACCATAAAGTTGTTTTGAGAAGGGGAAAACATTTTGGTCTATATTTTGATTTTTTTTTAAATCTGTGTGTATAATTAGAATTGTAGAAGGGTAAAATTATTTGGGTTGGAAGAGACCTTAAAGATCATCTCGTTCCAACCCTCCTGCCATGGGCAGGAAACCTTCCAGCCAGGTTGGTCAGGGCCCCATCCTGCCTGGCCTTGAGCTTCTCTGTCCAAGGCTTCATCACCCTCGCATTAAAGGGGATTGCTCCTTAATACCTTATCCAAGGCCCTTGCTCTCCGTTTAGAGCTCTGTCACTGAAGAGCCCAGAGAGGTGGCCAATGTTCCCCTCAATAAATGTCTCTGTACCTCAGGGGTTTGAAGCACTCATGTAGGATGACAGCAGATTGATTTGAGTCAAAGCCATCCCAGTCTGCAGAGGAATTAGACAAGTTATTTCTCTTTTGGTTTTGGTTTCACACATTACGTCCTTGTTTGATTGTCATGCTGAGTAAATCAGTGGTTGAGCTTTGCCTGACTTGTTTTAAGATCACCAGGTTTTGCCTAACTTCAATCTAAGGCTGTAAAGCAGGTCAGACTCAATCAAAACTCAATACTGTCTGCTTGAGAAATTAATGAATTTTTGTCAGAATGAATCTCTTGTTTTTGCTTAATGTTACAAAAATCTTGAATGCTTTTAATACTTGTGTATCACATTTACTTTGGGATAAGTTAATGTAAAAGAGCTTGTGTTATTCTCTAAAATTCTCCCAGTATTCTCAGTGGATTATTTTTGGATATGTGAGCTTTTCAATTTTCATGTACTAATGTAATTAGGATGTCATGTGGGTGCATCAGTGCTCTTGTATTTCCATGTGTGCTTCTGATATAGGATGATTTTCGTTGTTAAACATTTCTTTGATAAACATCTCAAGCATAATTGAAATGCTACTGATCCTTTCAGTTTGGCATTGGCCTTTGGTAGTATCAGGGAAAAAAATCTGAGTAAACATAATTGATGGAAATTTTGTTTTCTTGATTTTAGCTCCCTTAGAAGACTTTTGTTTGCTCAGGAGCTATAGAAAAATGCCATGGACTTTAATATTGCTATGAACTAGCCTCCCTGCCTTCTTTTCAAACCACTGTACACACATAAAAAATGGCTTATCCTTCTTTGTCTGAAAGCTCTTGTATAGGTATCATAGGTTGTTCAAGCCCACAGCACAAAGCAAAAAAATGAAACTCCTATTCCTTTCTTTTTTTAATATTGATCAGCCATACAACTTAAACTGAAAGTGCAGAAAATACATGGTTTGTTGTTTTCATATGTACATACAATATGAACAATAAGGGATTGGATATTATATGAAACATTTTCTTTCATATAATATATCTTATCAGTTTAGTTCTAAATGACCAGTTACAAAATTTTACTGAAGCGCTTCAGATTTAAAAAAAAAAAAAAAAACAACGGCTAAAGAAATCAGGAAAAGATACAGAAAAGAAAAACTGAAATTAAGTAAGTGGATGCAGAAAACCCACACAAGCATCAAATAGTATCAGAAAAAGGGACAGTTAAGAATTCATGGGCTTGTGTATAAAATTAGATTCTGGGTCAGTGCAAGTCAAGAGAATTTAGTCTCAATAAAATCATAGATGCAACCAAAATGACAAGACTTGGAGTAAATGGTTTGTAACCCATGTCATCATATTTTGTTGCCTCAGTGTAAAGGCCAGAAAGGCTTGTATTGTGTAGCAATAAAGGGAGAACAAAAGCAAGGCTTTTAGGGGTAGAACACCTCCAAGAAAGTACTGTCTGTACAATAATGAAGAAAGTTAGTTTTTATGAGAGAAGGTTATTCTGATGATCTTCAGCTTTGCTGAAAAAAAAAAAAAAACCAGCAGAGTTTTTCTTCATGCAATAAAGTCTGTAAGCTAAAATGATTGGAGTAATAGGCAGAGTGATATCGTTTCACAAAAGACTTTGAATGACTTCCAGATGCCACTGCCAATACAAGTCACAATCAAAATGACCCTGTGGTTAACAGCAGTAAATTTTCACAGAAAGGTGCCCTGAAGCAAATGGGTATTTCAGCCAATAAGTCTGATGTTTTGATCTCTCTCTATCAAGTGCTCCACTTTTGGCACACACTCTCATCTCTAAGGAGCTACAGTCCTTTACTGAAAATATTAAAAGCATTTAAGAGGTAGGAAAAGCAGTGTGGTATGGTAGGGATGATGAGCCAAGCTGGCAATGGCTGGGGAAGCACAGGAAAAATGAGGGTGAGCCCTGGTGCACAGGATCTGCATTGGGAGCCTGTGAGCTTAACCTGGTCTGTGCTGGACCCAGCTGCACCACCACGTGTACTTTTGTGCTAAAGAAGGATAGGTTTGTACTGTACAGGCTTCAGCTGAAAGAGACACGAATGTCAAATTCAGAATTAACGTGATTTCCTGCTGTGGGGAAGCAGTGAGTTGCAGTATTTGTGTATGAAGATACACGAAGGCAGGGTGTGCCTCTTCTCTGACACAGGTGTTGCTTCTTTGTGTGGCCACCCTTGTCCCAGCCAAGGAAAGGCTTCCAGGAGCATGGAACCACTGCCTCTGTTGAGGGCAGAGTTTTAAAAAGTAAGGGAAAGATATTTGGGCTAAACTTTTACCTCCATGCTGACACAGATTTTTGAAAATTGGTTTTTACTTATCCGTACTTAATAAGAGAGCACCAGGAAGGTCAGACTCTGTTGTGGAAGTCCAGTAGGCTGCCACAATTGCTGTTTTGTTCTGTGTCATTTCATTAAGGATCATTGCACCTGCTGCTAATTGCAATGTGGCTTATTAATAATGAAAGAGTTTTCAAAATCTAATTTATTTCTCATGTTTCTGGCTGTTCAAACAATGACTGTAGATTAATCAGGTTGCTGAATCAATTTGTGAGCTATTTATTCTCTTATTAACTTTTAAAAAAATCTTCTTTTCTGTTTACATGTTCCTTCATTGTGTATTGATCTGTGTGTGGTCACAAAAAAATAGTTTTCATAGGCAGATTGCAGTTGACTTTACCTTCAGGGTCTTGCTTCTTTTTATTTACAAATGTGGTCAATGTTGTGCAGATGTAGGAGACACAGTTTGTGCCCTCAAGAAACAGTAGAAACCAAACCATGCAAGCACTTGTGTTTCTGAGACGTGGAGTACAAGAAAAATAAAGTTGGTGATTTGTACATTGATTGTTACTTCCACACGTTTGCTTGTTAGATTAAAGATAAAAATGTGCAGTTTTATGTGGTACTTGCCAACAGGGATCTTTAGGAGTGTTTAGGATTACTGGACTCGTTCTCCAGCCTGCTGCAGTGAATGCACTCCAGACCTGGCAGTGTTCTGTGTTTAAAACAGCTTTAAAATCCCACTCAGACAGGACTGGTTTATACCTGCTGCTGTTACTGGTAATGGCCAAGAATAATTGAAAGTCAGTAAAGGAAGATGATTTTCTCTCTCCTATATATATGTCCTGTCATCCTGCCCTAATTTTGTTTACTTTCTGACAACAGTTTGTGTCTCCTCATTTGCAGTGTTTTCCTGAATTCTCAGTCATCCTGTTTTCCTATTGTTTATGTGGGTATTTCTCACTACATCAAGAGAAGAAATGTTTAAAAATAGAGAAATTAAATTCTTAGTCAAAAAAACAAAATAACCAGCCCTAGTTGGAGGAAAAGTGAAGCCTGGGGCAATTATAGTAACTGTTGCTGCACTTAATTTGTTAAAAATATATTTAATTCATGTAAAAGAAAGGAAGCAAACTGCACGTTGCCAGTGTTGGTTCTGTAAGCCTGTGAAAATAACTTCACCTGATACTGCTGTATGGTAACTGCTAATATCTAAACAACATTTCCATCTCTTTTAGGATCAGAGTCACACACAAGTTTCCCAGTACCGCCAGGATCACTCTCTGATTATGAGATCTATTGTCCATATGACTGATGCTGCTCATTCGGGAATTATGCCTCCATCTCAGCTCACCACCATTAACCAGTCTCAGCTGAGTGCGCAGCTGGGGCTAAATTTAGGAGGCACTAATTTGCCACACACTTCTCCCTCCCCTCCTGCAAGTAAATCAGCCACTCCTTCCCCATCTAGCTCTATCAATGAAGAAGATGCAGATGAATCAAACAGAGTAAGTTATTCCATGTGCTGCACTGAGCAAGCTTCATGCATCCACACGCTGTATTTTCAAGGATGTGGCAGTGTCAGCTCAGCTGCAGTGTGGTCATTTAAAATACAAGTGTTATGGTAAAATGGAATATGATTAATTTCCTGATTTTCATCTTTACTTAAGAAGATTCCATACTAACCCCATAATAATAAACCTACGAATAGACATATTGTTTTTTTTCTTTTGGCCTAATTTGGCTCAGGTTTTCAGATCTGTTGAATCTCTTCAGGCAACAGTTTTGGACAGCTTTGTCATTTTGGTATTCTCTGGAGTCATGTAAAACATAGATGTGTTTAGAGAGAAATAAAATAAGCTTTCTTTTAACTGAAAGTTTAATTAACTTATATTTTCCTTTAAATGAATCTCTTATAAAAGGAAAAAAAATATTGATCAAATGAAGTACAAATGTTGTTATAGCAGTATAAGGCCTAATTTAAGAGCTCCATGAAAGGTCTTCTCATTAAGTTGATGGAAGTTATACATGTGGAAAGCTCATTGTACAGGATACTCAAAATATCAAAGTAAATTACTATCATAGAGGTATATTTAGAGCCACTTGACCCCCTTGTTGCAATAATCTGTGCATAGTTCAACAAAAGCGAGTCCAGGGCACGAGGCACAGGCAGGGAGCAGAGCTGCTGTAATCCTGAGTGTGCTGCTGGGATCCCTGTCCCAGAGGGAAGAGAGAGGCTGTCTGTGCCTGGCCAGAGCTCCCCCACATCACTGCCCTGCCCGGGGGCACAGCCAGTGCCCCTGCAGGTGAACACAAACTGCAGGAAGGTGAGAATTTTTGACCCCTGGCCCGTGTTGAAGTTGCCAGTCTAAGCCTGGGAATTTGGAAATTCCTCCAAACTTTTGCCTTTTGACTCTCAACTGCCGAGATTGTATCTTAATGGAAAAACATAGATGGTCTCTTCAAAATATGCTATTAACTAAATCTTAATTTTTTTTTAATAGAAATTAGCATTGGGGTCTCCTTTTTCAGGTCAAACTCATAAGATGTGACACTCAGATCCATGCTTAAAATGAGTAGTAGCTACTCGTGTTTAGTTCCAGTAGATCCAATGAGATTATGCTGAGACTAATTACTCTTTGTTAGAGAGAAGGGCCTTTACAACAGGACTCTCTCAAGAGTTGCCTACATAATAGCTTTATCCATATAATAAGACTGTCAATAAGTTTTTGCAATTTATCTGAGTTATTTCATGCATTTATCGACTGTTCTTGTTCTTACTGTTTTTTAGGCTACTGGAGAAAAAAGAGCTGCCCCAGATTCTGGCAAGAAGCCCAAGACTCCAAAGAAGAAGAAAAAGAAAGACCCCAACGAGCCACAAAAGCCAGTGTCAGCATATGCCCTTTTCTTCAGGGACACACAAGCTGCAATTAAAGGACAGAACCCGAATGCTACATTTGGAGATGTTTCAAAAATAGTGGCATCTATGTGGGACAGCTTAGGAGAAGAACAAAAACAGGTAAATTGGTGCAGGGTTGTCTCACAAGATATAGTAATCCCTGTAAAAAAATCTTCCTGCCTCTGCTCTGAGTGGACCATGCTACTTGCTGATGTAGAACTCTACCTCTGTAGGGCTACACTGAGTTTTGAACTTGCTGAAGACCTGTCATCTAAAAATTTTTTTCTAAGAGCCAACAGGTAGTGTTAAATGACTGTATTTGTCTTTAAATTTTAAAGGGCAGTTTGTAAAAGAGCTCAGGTTATAGTGTCCTTGAGTCCTCTTAAAACCATCTTTTGATGATTCCTATTTCAAAGCCCTTGTTTCCTATTAATAAGTTAGAAAAGAGGAAGGTACAGCATATTTACCATTTCCTTTGATCTGCCTTATGAATTTGTTACAAAGCGTGTTGATTTCTAACCTTTGAAGCCAATCCTCTGAGTCTCATTACAATGTTGTGTGTGAAATGCTATCTCCAACTCCAACTTGGTACAGAGTGATGAGTTTTGTACTTCCTTGAGGGTTATTCTTCTTCCTATACACATGGAACTGCTGCACATGGATTTAAGGGGGCTAAAAAATCCCCTTTGTTTGTCTGTTCCCAGTAACAGTTAATAGAAACTTTTATGAGAGAAGAGATTCCCAGACAGGATACCTTTTGGCAAGAGATGAATGCTACTTGTTTCTGAAATACATTTGGAAACTTTTAGTCTGATCTAATAGATGATAATGAACATGATTTAAAGGTGAACTTTAAATTTACTGATAATTAAAAACACAGATTTAGTAATTTTTGCCTAAATTTTCTTGTTTAACTCAATGGGATTTTTCTCATGCTGCCTTTGGAGCAAGTCTAAGCTCTTTGATCCACTTTTTTTTCAAAGGTATACAGGTTTTTTAATATGTAGTTCAAATACTTGTTTTGAAAAAAAGTGCACAGGTGTATTTTGCTATTCTAGACTACTATTGATACATTTTGGCATATGAAATACTAATATTTCATATTAGTATTAATATGTTAATATTAGTTCTAATATCTCTATGCTACTTGTTTTCTGGGGAAGGAAAGAGTGCATAGGTAGTCTTGTCAATCAGCTGGCTGCTCAGACTGATGTATAGCAGCCTTTTGTTATTCCTGATAATCAACATAAATTGTAGTGTAAGTTCAGCAAGTAGACCTGAAAGCTGTAACCACCTGCAAGAATATTTAGAACTCTCAAGGAAGAAAAAGAACATCTAATCTTAGAGTGTTTTCAGAAGTTTTGGTCTATGTGTTTTGTTTCTTTGCAAGTGATTGTGAGAGCATTCTGGCAAAAACATTTTAATAGCTGAAGTTGGTGAAATTGTGGTCTCTTTTAATAGGTATATAAAAGAAAAACTGAAGCTGCCAAAAAAGAATACCTAAAGGCACTTGCTGCCTACAGAGCAAGCCTTGTTTCTAAGGTAAGCCTAATATTGCCTTCGATGTAATGCAAGTGAGCTTTTACCAATGATATTGAAATATTTGGGGTAAGGGGGGGGATGCTATGCACAACAGAAGTAGAATCCTAGGATTTCTGTAATACATCTCTACAAGATGCTGTGCTGCTGCTTAAACCCTGCTTAGTCTCTGTAAAAATAATTTTATCTCTCGACTGGCAGAATGATTACCAGAAAACATCTCTGTAATTGTATATCTTCCTTGAGCTGTGGAGGCAAAATAATGCACTTCACCACGAAAATAAAATTCAGTCATGAAAAATGTACTGACCTTTTGACATGAATATTTGCAGAGGTTTGTTTTTCCTCAAGTGCTGCTTCTCAGAGGACAGGCTTGCTTTGCGTGGAGTTGGAGGCAATTGTTGTGTGACAAAGCTTAAGTGTTCTTGCAGGTGAGGGGAAAGGAATTCGTAGTGGCTCTGAATTTGGAGAGTACTAAAAAAATGGACTAGCTGGCAGTGAGCCACATGGAGTGTTTTAGTGGATCCTGAGTTAAAATAAAACCTGTGAAGAAAAAAAAGCTCTGCTATCTTACTTGAGAAATTACCTTTCTAGATGGCAGCACTATGCAGGTTGTGGTTCTGTTGCATCTGAATATAATAAATGGAAATGTGCTTACAGACATCTAAAATATGGGTAAAACATTACCAAGGTGGTTATTTATCTAATAATATATTATAAAGGTCAATTACAAAAATATATTCAATCACAAGAAAGCAAGAGAGGGTGATGATGTCTTAAGTCCTGAGAATATTTATTTGAACGTACAACTGCAGAGCATTAGTAAATCATACAGAAAGTTGCTGTGTGTTTTAATTAATGATTAAAAGTACAAATTATACACATGTTTTTGAAAGCTGGAAGATTTCTTCTCCTTGTGTTAAGAAGCTATGTTTTTCTGTTGCCTCTGGACTCAGATAATATTTTAAAAGCCAAGCCTTCAGTATCACAATGCTAAGTTTAAGAGCATCAGGAAGTCTAAATACCTTTGTGGGATATTATTTTGTAAATCTTAAGTTCCCGTTTGAAAACCATCAGAAATCATATTTTTTTTTCCCCAAATCCATGGGACCAGGACCACCAAGTAACTTCTGGGTAGATTGCAGGTAGAAATGACACCCAAAGTCATTGTATCTCACCTCCTCTAAATTAAGACATCCTTGCTGTAGCTTTTTCATGTGGGATGGTTGCTCAGGGTAGGGATGGGATAGATACTCGTGCAGCACAATTTATTACATTCTCAGGGAAATATCTAAAGAGTGTCAGTTAATTGCTCATTGGTTGGTAACTCATGGGGTGAGGAGTGTGTGTGCTGCTGACTCCCAAAGAGCAGAGTTTTTTATAAAACATGTAAACGTGTTGGGCCTGTTCAGTGACAAAGTGTATGTGACATCTGTGACTTTCTGGTGTTGACCAAGGGCACAAGTTAGTTTTTGTCCAAGTAAGACCTGGAGGTACCATATAGGGAGGCAGATAAAGAGGTGATACAATGTATTGGTGATGAGTGATTGTTTTCAGACTGCAAATTGATCTTTTCTGATAGAAAACAAAAGATGGCAAAGGTCTCTGAGTAGCTGTTACTTTTATTACCATGTAAACAGTAACTATGTTTTTTTCTGTTGAAAAGACAATTAATTTCTCTTCCAAACACAGGCTGCTGCAGAATCTGCTGAGGCCCAGACAATTCGTTCTGTTCAGCAAACACTGGCATCCACAAATTTGTCTTCCTCCCTTATTCTGAATAGTTCTCTTTCTCAACACGCGACGGTGTCGGCGTCTCCCCAATCTCTCCAGCAGCCCCTTTCCAGAGCAATTGCTCCAAAACCCTTGACCATGAGACTGCCAATGAATCAGATTGTAGCCTCTGTTACCATTGCACCAAACATGCCGACAAACATTGCAGCTCCCTTGATAAGCTCCATGGGCACAAACATGGTGGCAACGCCGTCCTCATCTCAAGTCAGTCCCTCCCTGCAAAGCCAGCAGCACCAGATGCAGCAGCTCCAGCAACAGCAGATGCAGCAGATGCAGCAGCAGCAGCTACATCAGCATCAAATGCATCAGCAAATACAACAGCAAATGCAGCAGCAGCATTTTCAGCACCACATGCAGCAACATTTGCAGCAGCAGCAGCATCTTCAGCAGCAGATTAATCAGCAGCAAATGCAACAGCAACTGCAGCACATACAGCTTCAGCAAATGCAGCAGCAGCAAATGCAGCATATGCAACACCAGTCACAGCCTTCTCCTCAGCAGCATTCTCCAGGAGCCCCGCAGATCACTTCTCCCATCCCTGCCATTGGGAGCCCTCAGCCAGCACCTCAGCAGCACCAGTCACAAATACAATCTCAGACACAGACTCAAGTATTGTCGCAGGTCAGTATTTTCTGAAGATAAATGATCTTGCAACATGGCTTTGTGTTGATGGAGGGGTTAGGGGTAAACCATATTTGGCTGAAAACTGTAAATTGTTGATGGTAGTTATGCAGGGATGCATAACAGATCAAATGATCCTCTAAAGTGTCTATTAGATAGGCAATAAAGAACTACAATGTAGCTGTGTATCATCTTTTAGCTGACTATAAATCATTTTGTTTAAAAAAAAAAATGCTGTTCTCTTTTTCATGTGATGCCTTTTTAATTTATTTAAGCTTTACCTACAATATGTGAATCAACTGGCCTAATAAATACCTGGACCTTATGACTGCAAAATGGCCTTTCAGAGTTATTTGCTATAACCCTTCTTTCTCTAAAAGTGAGTAATGCACTTCAAGGCAGTATGAACTCATGGAGCCCTTAAAGCACAGTTGTAACTACCTGTAAAATTATGATTGGATTTCATACAATCATACTTGTATGACATGAGTTAGTTGATGGCATTTTTTGTCATGAAAAAATAGAGTAAATCACAGATTTTTGCCAAAGCTCTTATTTTTTTTCTCTCTCTTAAATGTCTTCAGAAAAACAAATGCAAGTAACTGGACTTAAATGTTTGACCCAACTTTTCACTTCATTTCTCCAAATAAACCTGCCATAGTTCGTAAGATAATATATATTGACATTTACCCTCTTACGTTAATTCCAATTACAGAACAAATGTGAATATTATATTCTGTGTCGAAGTGATGAGTTTCAGATTTAATACACTGTATTTTTAAAAGGGAAATGCACTTAAATAAAACTGTTATTACAGAAAGCTAAGATGAGAAATGCAAGTTATTAATACGCTGTAAAACCAGTAGAATATTTAAATGAAACTCCACAACTGAATAATCAATGTAAATATTTTCTTTAAAAGTTGTAAGTTTTCATATCATGTGTTGTAAAGTTTTCATAAATGAGGCTTTAATGTAAACACTGGTAACATGAATTATTAATTGCTACATTGCTTATTGTGTTTTTATGCTGTTTTATACTTTTTTATGAGTTATGATAGCAGCAATTAAGTTGTTTGTATTTTGCTTATCTAAAATAAATGCTTTTATCTTGCTATAGAATAAACACATTTCAGTAAAACTGATGGAGCTGTAAGTCTTTGATAGTGAAACCAGAAATGTTTCCTTCTGCAAATGCTTTCTTGGACTTTTTTTAAACGCCCTTGGATTTTTATCGAACATTCCAGTGGGAACAGGGTAAGCACTTGGCTCTTGTACCCTCCAGGATGCTCTGCTGAAGAGTTGTGGGCAACTTCTCTGAGGTGTCTGTGACTTCAGAGAGAGACAGCAAGTGCTGGAGTCACAGAACAGTCATGGTGCCCTGTGCTGATGATCTCCAGGAACAGGGAACTGAACCTGTCTCTCAGCAGTCATGTTCAGAAATGCAAATCAGCACAAACTGGGTTTCTGTGCATCCAAGAGTTTCAGATGTAAACGCAGCTACTGCTGTGGGCTTCCCTCTGTAAGCAGCTCTTGGCTTGGGCTGGTCCTGAGTTGTCTGACTTTTATTTTCTCATTAAGGTGGACGGTGATGGAGTGGGGAGGATGGAGGGGGCAGGTCTTTCATATGAAGGGTTTCGAAACATTTACGTCCAGTGTGGTGTCAGGTTATGTGTGCTGTTCATATATTTTTGCTCTGAACAGAAAGGAAGAGAGCCTTTATTTTCTTGTTTCCCTTCTTTGCCTGCAATATCTGTGCTGTGAGTGCAGTCTGACCACTATCCCCAGTTGTCTGGCATGATTAATTACAGCATCTGTCCTGTCAGAAGCTATAATGAAGAGGTCTTGATAAAAATTGCAAATTACCACTGGCAACAATCTTAAACTGCTTATGATAAAATGAAAATTAAAAACAGCAAGTGTCAAGCCTGAGCAGAATCCTAATCCTGTTTGAGGCATGGCTCCCATGCTCAGACCACAACCCCAAAATAATGGAACAGAGATCCTCAAAAAGTTGCAGCCAGGCTTGAGGGAAGAAGTACTATGCCATGTGAATTTCTTCATAATGAATTCAGCTTTCAATATTTCATCATCCTCAGGTACTCTGTTTATTATGTACAAATATTGAACAGCAAGAGATTCTAATTATAAATTTATAGATTTCTTGGAGCAGAAAAAATCATGTATAAATTGAAGCTTTTCATAATAGGTGTTAGTTGACAGCTACCCATGCTCCTAATAGCCTTAGCATGATATCTAATAATGCCTGGGATGGAGGGTGTTTATTCCAAGTGCAAGGAAGCCTGTCTGCTTTAGAAATGGCACGACAGAGCCTGCCTGGGAGAGACTTTGTGTGTGTCAGTTTTAACCAATGTTACATAACAAAGGGAACCATTTTATAGTAGTTTTTGAAACCTTTAGACAAATGTCTTCAGAAATAATTGCTAAACTACATGTGACAGTAATTGTGTATTAGTTCTATAATTGTCATTTTGAAGACCTATGAAGTATCGTTGGAAAAATGTCACAAGTGATAAGAGTTAATTACAACTGAAGTCTGTTTTCAACTATTTGCAGCGAGAAGCAGGTGTTATTACACTCATTAAATGGTTTCATAAATCCTGGGTTTTATCACATTTGATTAAGAGCTGCTGAACTACTGATGTTCAATTCCAGGAAAAATAGTTTTAATTACTGCAGCTTAAAAAAAAAAAAAAGAAAAGAAAATTAATCATCAAGCAGGACTATAGATTTTAAATATCAAAATTTGAATCTTGAAATACTGGAGCATTCCCCTGCTTGCCACAAAATTATATTTTGCATTACCCACAATAGCATATTGCAGAACATCTTGTGTTTCAAACTGTGCAAGTTTGTGTTCATGTTCCCTAAGTCTAAGTGAATAACTGTGCTATCATAGGTCATAAATAAAACTGTTAGTTTAAATCGCTTGATATGCAATTTATACAAGAAAAATGCAATAATCTGTATGGTTTCAGTGTCAGGCATGGCTTTTAAGAATGTTTTTCTTCATAGCATTTACAAGCACTTAACTGCTCCCTTCTTTTCCCAAGGTTTCAGATGCTTTATCACCTCGGTTAACCACATTCTACTTTCACATTAACCCAGGTTGACACATGATGAAAGAACATACGGAGGTTTAATTTTTAGCTGACACAGGGTCATTAGTTTCTAACTTGGAGAACAAAGCCTTTAAATACCTCTGTGCAACATAATCTCAATTTTATATTATCACCTGAACATTGTGGTTTGCAGGACAGATGGATTAAATATCTCAAGTTTAACCACGAGTCTTGCACTGACTCTTTTCAGTGGGGATTCCTATTTGAATGGCTCCTTTTCCATTTCTCACTTCATGGAGTATTTTGCAGCACTGGACTGCATTCTAACCTTTCCCTCCCCCCTTTGTTTGGCTTTTGTTTTGCAACAGCTGTTATTATCGTTTTTGGTCAGCTGTGATTGCTGGAGGCAAAATAGGACCAGATGGTGTTTTGCTATGCATGAATGGCGAGTTAGAGGAGTTTAGATTGAATAGGCCAAGTTTGAATGGTGTCTATGCACCACCTGCCCTCTTCAGCAGCAGCACACACATCATAGGAGCATGATCTGTCTCAGACCTACTAGAATTGGATGGGAATGGAGAGCGCCTCGTTGGATTTTCTCCATATTTATTGATCTTCCATGCACTAACAGCATAATGCAGTACACAGTCAATTTGAGTTAATTGGATATGACACAGCATGTACATGTAATCTATCACCAGAGTCTCCTGGTACACTTTAGGGTTTGCTGCCACAAGAACATGCAGTATTACCCTGCATTAATAGGCTAAGTGGATGGAAGTAAACCAGGATCATTGTAGGGTTTGATTTGACAAAATATACTGTAGTTTTACAATTGTACCCTTGAAACTGCCAGAAATGCAGTGAACTATGAACATTTCTGATTTGATAGACTGAGGCTGAGTATTTTGTCTCAGAAAAAAAAATACATGTAATTCCCATAAACTTCTGTGAAGTTTGCCAGTGAAATTTAAACAAATGTAGGGAGCAGCATCTATAGGGATGGGCCAGTTCCATTCAGAATAGTACCAAAGGGCTGCTTTGGTAACCTAAAACTGGTCAGAGAGGTGGAATTTAAATGTTGCATAAACGTAAGAACTGTTGTATACTCTGTTAAGGCTGACTGAAAGACATGAGACATGAAAGACTTGTGCCTGAATGTTACAGAAGAAAATAAATATGTTATGAATCATGAAAAAATACACAACAGTAATATATAATACATAAATTGCTTGCATTGTTACAGCAATTGGATGTTTCAAAGCCTACTTAATATGTAACTGAGGGTTGTGATCATGCTCTAAGTTGGCAGGAGCTGCTCACTCGGCGTCTTTGTCTGTGGTGTCAGGTAGCCAAGTGAGCTACTTTATTATGAAAATTGCATCCAACTGAAAAAATGCTAAATATTTTCAAGTGCCTGTGGGAAAAGCTAGGTTTGTATTAAAGGATTTGGTTCTTAAAGTCACCAAGAAGTTAATGCTTCTCAGGTGCATCGAAGGGAGAGAATTTTCGATTATAATACTAAAATCTTTGAGAAGTGAATGTATTGCTTTGAAAAAGTTGCTGTGACACTTCAATAGGCTACATTAGAGATTTAGAATGCATTCTGTTTACTTCAGTTAAAAACCAGAAATGGTATTTTAAATAGTGTTTTTTGTCCAAGTTCTTGGAGCATTAACATCTTCAGCCCCTAAACAAACCAAAGTAGTGGAGAGTTTACTTAGAAGGTTTGAAATTAAATTTATTTTAATATTCTAGGTCAAAAAAGTTGAACAGATAATCGTCTTGCAGTTATATGGACACTTCTTGCAGGTATCATTTATTCTCTCCCCTCTCTAGGAATATCTTTATGATGCAGTTACCTGTGGTCTGTTGCTTTTCTCCAAACTGGAGTTGCTACATCATTGTAATTCTGCTGCTCTAATTGTAAAAGAGAGGTTTGATCCAGAAAATAATTTGAAATGAACTGATAATTCATGCATAAAGGTGGTCATTTCATTGAAGTGACTACTCATATGCTCTGTTATACAGTTCTCAAGTACTTTCATAGATCAGGGGTCAAATTGCAAAACATTGTATTTGTTTTCCAAACAGATCCACGTATTTATAATAATAATCAGAACCTGAAAGTAATCTTGCATTCTCTGCACTTTCTTTTATTAAATTCTATTCAAAACAAGTCACAGGTCTCATTTTCAAGTACAGATATCTAACCTTAGTGCTGGTTCAATGACTGAATCATCATAAATGTGTA